ATAAATTCAACACAACAATGTAAATAAGTTTTGATGAATGCAATAATGGAATACTGGATGGTTTACTTTTGGTAAAATATGCAGGGATTTATGAGATGCAAAATGAACATGGAAAGAGAAGACGGACCGTCATTGATATTTTAAGGATGTTTAAATGAGTATCCTTAAATTGTAAAACAGAAAAATTAATAAAATTAAATTTATATATAAAAGAAACCGAAATCAGAACCCACATACAAGACACGTACACAACCCCTGTGGTTTACAGCAACTGGTATTTCAGAAGCATTAGTGCCTCCTACCATGAAGGGAGAGCATAGCCTATGTGTGGAGTAGTTTTAAACAAATGCATGAAACACAGTTGTAATATAAAAGTATTATGCTATGCCAATAAAACAGGTAACCCTCCCCCTTTCCCCCCAAAAACAACAAAAAAGCAAGAAACAATCAACATAAAAAATAATCAGATTTGCCCCTTACCACCAACAGCAAATAAAGTTAAGATCCCAAAACCCTCCCAAATACTGAAGCTCCCATAGAAGAGTCCTACCCTTGAGTCATGCTTTTTAAAAGAAGAAGATGCAACATATACATGCAGTTTATTCTATCTCATTTTCTAAACTACTGCTATCATTCTCCATTTCTTCTTCCCTCTTTGTCATTTTTTCTCATGGACTTCTGAAAAACAGCTTTGGGGGGGAAATGGGAAAACCTGTTTTTTTCCAGGGTTTTCCAGCCTTCCCATCTCTACTTGGAAGATAGCTGGGGCAAAGTGGTAAGGCATTTTTTTTGCGTGCCAGGCCCAGAAGTAACCAATATCCAGTTACTGAATAGTACGTTGCGACTAAGGCTCAAACACTCTGTTTGAAAGGAAAATGTGTGTGGTGTTGGTGTGTGTGTGTTTAAATTGGAATTTTTTATTATAAACCCATGGATGGTAAGAGAGCTTTCCTAAACAGTTTACAATAATATACACACAGCCTACATTAAAATGATTGATAAAACACAGTTAAAAGCAGGTATTTAAGAGTACTCAAAAAGATGATGAAAGTCAGCATGGTTAAAAGGAAGTAAATCGCATGCAGCTTCTGTGTTTAGTTGGGCTGCCCTAACGGAAAATGTTTTGAGCAGTTGCCGGAAAGAGTACAGTGAGAGCACCTGCCTGGTGTCAATCGGCAGGGAGCTCTAAAGTGTGGGTGAGGGAAGGCCTGAGGGAAAAACAGAAGAATGGGGGGGCACAAGTTTTTCTCCTGTTTTTTCCTAAGCCATTTTTCCAGGAAAATTGGGGGGGGGATAGTGTGTGGAATATTATCTGGGGCGGGGGGGGGGAATGGCTTTGGGGGGAAATGGGAAAAACTGTGGTTTTTTCCTGGTTTTTTCCAGGGGTTTTCCAGGGCCGTCCCATTTCTAATTGGAACTTTGTGCTGCATGAAGAAGCAATTCTTTATCTATCTATCCTGAACAGGCATAGGCAAACTCCGGCCCTCCAGATGTTTGGGACTACAATTCCCATCATCCCTGACCACTGGTCCTGTTAGCTAGGGATGATGGGAATTGTAGTCCCAAACGTCTGGAGGGCCAGAGTTTGCCTATGCCTGATCCTGAACCTTCCAACCTTCAGCTTGACTGCATGTCCACTGGTTCTGCTGTTATGAGAGAGGGAGGAAAACTCTTCCCCATCCACTTTCTCCATAACATGCATAATTTTATAACTTGTATCGCCAAAGAAATTGCAGAATAAAAATTGAAATATTTGAGAGAAGGGTGAACGAGCGCAGGCTGAAATGTGAAGGTTGTGTTGCAAGAGAAGGGTGAAATGACAGATACATCAGAGCTATTGCTGTAACTGTTGAGGAAGCAGGAGGGACAGAAAGATAAGAAACTCGCTATGCCTCTTGATCAAACCAGTACAAGCTAGTAGAAGATCGCCATATATGGACGTAAATGTCCT